TAGCCACCGTCTCTCCTCCTTCTTCACATAGATGTGCCTGCTCCTGTGTCTTCTCAGCAATGGGGGGCACTGCCCTCACCCTATCAAGTGGACAAGTGACAAGGACAATTACATGGGCAACCTCGCTCAGCCCCTGACTGTTCTGGTCTGGATGACCTGCTGCCTGTCCCTCCCTAAAGCTCCTCCATCACTTCCCAGCTTCCCATACTCTTTTCAATGTCTACTCTCTGCCACAGGTTTGGTCTTGGGACTGACCTGTGACTTTAAGAATTAAACCTTTTATTTTGAGGTAATTGTAGATTCACCTGTAGTTTTAAGAAAGAACGTTAAGAAATCCCACGTAGCCTTTACCCACCTTCTTCCATGGAAACATCTTGCACAACTGTCGTATAATGTCACAGCCAGGATGCTGACATTGACAAGCCAAGATGGAGACCATCCCAGCCCCATAAAGATCCCTCAGGCTGCCTTTAAATGGCCACGACACTTCCCTCCTTCACCCCAGCAATCACGCGCCTCTGCCCTACTTGTGCTATTCCATCATTTCAAGAATGTTACATAAATGGAATCACATAACATACATGCTCTTGGGGAAAAAAAAAAGATTTTCTCCTAATTTTTAATTTCCCCTGAAAGATTGTTTTATATCTATGATGCATTTTGAGCTAACTTTGGTATAGGAAAATTTAGGTCCAGGTTCTTTTTTCTGGCCACAGCCTCTCAAAGTGCTGCCCTTCTTGATGTTCAAAGTTTCATTCTTTTACTATTTTATTTATGTTTAAATAACTTCCTTTCAACATTCTTTTAGGTTATGTCTACTAGTGACACATTTTCTTAGCTTTCCTTTATCTGAGAATGTCTTGGTTTCCCCTTTAGTCCTGGGTATTTTTGCTGAACATAGAATTCGGGGTGGCCAGTGTTTTTTTTTTTTTTTTTCCTTTCAGGAAATAAAAAATGTTGTGCTGATACCTTCTGGCTTCTATTGTTTTCAATAAAAAATATGCTGTCATTTGAGTTGCTTTTTCCTCTATACGCAAGGTATTGTTTCTCTCTCACTGCCTTTAAAATCTCTTCTTTGTCTTCAGTTTTCAGAAATTTGACTGTGATACCTTTTGGTATAGTTTATTTGGGTTTATTCTGTTTGGAGTTTGCTAAGCTTCTTGAATCTGTAGGTTTATATCTTTTGCCAGGTTTGAGAAGTTTTCAGCTATTATTTTTTTTGTTACTTTTCAGCCCCTCAGCCCCACTTCTGGGCTTCTGTTAGAGCTCTATGCATAGTCCTACAGGCCCCTCAAGTTCTGTTCATTTTTTTTCAGCTTGTTTATCTCTGTTCAGATTTGGTGATTTCTATTGTTCTATTTCCCAGTTTATTGATTCTTTCTTCTGTCCCCTCCATTCTGTTATTAAGCCCATCTGCTGAGTTTTTAATATTGGTTATTTAATTTTTCAATTCTAAAATTTCCATTTTGTTCTTTATATCTTCTATTTTTTGCTGAGACTTTCTACTTTCTTTGTGTGTGTGTGTGTGTGTGTGTGTGTGTGTGATGAAGTCTCCCTCTTGTTCCCCAGGCTGGAGTGCAATGGTGCAATCTCAGCTCACTGTAACCTCCAGCTCCTGGATTCAAGTGATTCTCCTGCCTCAGACTCCCGAGTAGCTGGAATTACAGGCACCTGCCACTAATGCCCGGCTAATTTTTGTAGTTTTGGTAGAGATGGGGTTTCACCATGTTAGCCAGGCTGGTCTCGAACTCCTGACCCCAGGAGATCCACCCGCCTCGGCCTCCTGAAGTGCTGGGATTACAGGTGTGAGCCACTGTGCCCAGCCAGACTTTCTACTTTCTATTGGATGTTTTTCAAGTGTGCTCAGAATTGCTCACTGTGGCATTTTTATGATGGCTGCTTGTTAACTTTTGTCAGATAATTCTAACACCTGTGCCATCTTTGTGTTGGCATGCATTGACTGGCATCCATCCATTAATTGTCTTCTCTGACATCACTCTGGCAGGGGAGGGGGCATGGCACTACCACCTTACTGCCAGGCAAGGGTAGAAGTTCAGTTTCCCTGCTCAGCCTTTGTTGACCCCCAAAAGAGGGGCTCCTCATTACTGCTGGGTGGGGGTTGAAGTTCTGGCTTCCCACTTGGCCTCCACTGATACCTCCCTAGCTGGGGGAGGTAGAAGACCTGACTACTATTCCCCACATGGTCTTCATGACATCACAGGGTAGGGAGTATCCTTGTTAAACTAGGTGGTGGTGAAAGTCCTGACTCTACTGAGTCTCCTGTCACCATCCCAGCAAGGTGGAGAAGGAGCGTCTCATTATTGCCCAGTGGGGGCAGAAGTCCAGACTTCCTAATTGGCCTTCTCTGATGCATATAATATGGCTAGAGGATTAGGGGTTGATGTACATGCCTAATTACAGCCTGGGGAGGGTGGAAATCTAAGCTCGCTCCTCATTTATTTGCTGGCATGGGTGGATATTTGACCACAGCTTATTCTGGAATGTTTGGTTGAAGCAGAGAAGTCACTGTTGAAAATTTTCTATCCTCCTAGTTTGCCCCTTTCCTGTTCTTTTGGCAAGAGAGAGCAGGTTTTGTTGGGACTTTTTTTTTTTTTTTTTTTTTTTTTTTTTTTTTTTTTTTTTTTTTTTTTTTTTTTTTTTTTTTGGTATAGTAAAGAGGTGGTTGTCTAAAAGTTTTCTGTCTTACCAGGTTGTTGCCTTTCCTGGACTTTGGCTCAAGAGGATTTTCTTGGGGCTTGTTTTGTCTGTGCTCATTGGCATTTCCAGGATCTCAGCTTCTTCAACTCAAAGTCTGGGATATAAGATGCAAAACAAAATCCCAGGGACCTCACCACAATGTGGCTCCTTGGGTCCCCAAGATGCTTGGATGCTTTGCCTTCCTTTTCCCATCTTCCAAGGTCTCCTTATGTTTGTTTTGCATAATAGCCAAGGTTTTTAATTGTGCTCAGAGGAAGGAGTAGGTAAAAACATGTCTATTCCATCTTCCCACAAGCCTGTCCTATGACCTTCAACAGATTGAATTTGGGTTCCCTGTAGAAATTTGCCCGTTTGAAATAGGTTTGCCCTCTTCACCCAATAAATACTCGACAGAAGTGAAAACGTGGAAAAGACACTTATCCAGGTGCCAGGAGACCTGGGTCTTTGTCTGGGCTTTATGGCCCTAAGCAGGTTACAAACCTCATGGAATCTCCATTTTCTTATTTTCATGTGGCAGGATAATTTACTGAGATAATTTCTGATATGAATTTTCCCTGCTCTAGAAAGTTTCCTCTCCCTTTAAAAAGTAGTCGTCTTTTTTTTCTTTTTAAAATGAGTTGTTTTTCTCCTAAAGCCTTTAGGGAGTTGTAGGGCCTTAGGCAGAAGTTCCCAGGCACGAGGAAGATAATCTCTGTAATCAAACTTTTGCTTTTGAAAGCTTAGGCTCCACAAGGTGACTACGGCAGGCCCTCCTGGAGGGGAGGAATGCAGAGCGGGGGCCCTGGGGGAGGGAGGCAGGAGGGTCAGGAGAAATGTCACAGAGCCTGAAGAGGGGAGCTGTGGAGTCTGCAGGCACCAGGAGAACTCAGAGGTCTCAGGGAGGCAAGAGGACTTCTGCTCAGGTGATCAGGGCACTGAGTCCACTGAAGACTTGCGCTGTGGCCTTTGGAGCCATAGAGAATTGATCTAGGCCTGACCTAGGCATAGTTAGGAGGAGCTGCCTCTGAAGGACCAGGCACAGATCATCTGACTGACAGAAATAACAAAATGTGGGCTGCCTAGCACCTGGTGTGAAAGTGTAAAATCCATGAGGGTCCATCGATGACACCTGCTCTCCTACCCAACACGATGTTCTGGGGCAAAATGCAATTATGCACATCATAGTCTTTTCCAAGGCTTTCGAGGTTGTCCAAACATAACTTGTGGTTTTTATTAAGCACCCACTCTAGCTAGGTTCCATCTGGGAATGATGCTGGAGCAAAGAAACATCAGTGAGATGCTGAAATTTATCACCTCTTTGGGGAGATAATGCATGCACTGGGTGAGGAAGATGCTAAGGGTCAGAGGGTCAATCTAGAAACTACTTGTAAGGATTTTCTCATAAACTGGCTTTGGGCCTCTGACTTTTAACTTCCTTGTCAAACTGATGATTCTAATCAAAACTATTTAGCTGCAAGTGACTGAAATCTAATTCGTACTAGTTCAAGGTCAGAAGGTAGAGCCTCTGCTCTACCTTCCGTAACAGAGAGTAACAATAATGAGCACCAGCATTTATAAGATGCACGCTATGTGCCAGGCATAGTTTCAAATGCCAACTCCTCGAATCCTTGAAACAATCTCACAAGGCGAACAGGATAGATCATCAGCCCACCTAACAGCTGAGGTCACAGGGGCACTGAGAAGAATGAGCTTGTTTAAAGAGCTGCCATCTGGCTCTGGGTCCCAGCACATATCAAAGGTTAAAAGTGGTTACCCAGCCGCTTGGGAAGGGCCAAGGATGGACAATGGGCATGAGCTCAGGAGGGCAGGATGGAGGTGTTCCAGCGATGAAAGGGCTGTGTCACTGCCTCCATCTTCCTAGCCAGAAAAACACACTCCTTAGAACTTGTCAACACTAGCGGAACAGGGAAGGAAACCTCTGCCTCTTAGGGTCCAGGTCTCACAGTTCCCTGCGAGAACTCTGATGGTCCCACTGGGTCCGTGTGCCTTTTCCAGAACATCAGTAGTGGCCAGAGGGATGGGATGTTCTGGCTGGCTCTTGTTTGGGGTTGTTCTACAGTTGACTACACAGAGTCAGGGATGGGAGTTTCCTCGGAAGAAAGGTGGGGTACACAGTGGCTCCAGTTACTTCCTAGCAGGGACCTGTTCTGGGAGTGATAGGAAGCTTTGAATTATTTGTGAGAAGGAGGCCTTCCGTCATTTTCCAGTGTCTGTCTTAAGACTGCCCTAATTTTCAACTTTGAAGGTCATCCTGTGGCCAGATGTTATTTACTCTTTCTTCACTTGAAGCAATGGTTTCCCAGATCTTTCCCAGCCACTCTTGGTTCCATGCTAATGGAAGAAAACAAAAGGAGTCTCTCTGTAATACTTAACTTGTCTTGTCCTAACTTAATCTATGAAATATCTACTTGCAGTGTTTCCCCTGAAACCATCCCTCAACATCTGTCTTGCCATCGTAGCCTCCCGGCCTCTGCTGCCTCCCTCCCTCTACCCTGCACCTCCCTCTCCTCTTTGGCTTCCCTCATCTCATGGCCCCTCCTTTGCACTGACCTCTCGGCAGGCTGTGTGTGTTTGGGGAAGAAGGGGTCCTCTCTGGAGCAGGGCTGGCTCACCAGAGGAATCGAAAGGGTGCATCTGGGTACTGGAGACAGAACACCATTGAAGTCAAGAATGCCAGCAAAATAGGACACAAACAGTGGAGATGAAGCATTCCCATTTCTTTAAAATGAACCAACACACAGAGTTCCTATATGGTGTATCCAACCAGCCTCCCGCCACTGCCCTCCGTGATGACGTGGTCTCTGTGTCTGACCCCCTTTCCCAGGCTTCCTCTTGAAGGGCTAAAGCATGACTTTCCCCTGCACCTGTTCTCCCTCCTTTGTCCACTCGCCTTCCCCTTTCCTCTTTCCTTCCTTTCCCCGTCTCTACCTCTTGTATTTCCTTCCTTCCTTTCTTTCTCCCTGCTGTGATCCAAATGTTGGTATCCTCCCCAAATTCATATGTTAGAACCTAATACCCATTGTGACAGCGTAAAGAGATACGGTCCTTGGGAGGTGATTAGGCCATGATGAATGGGATTGATGCCCTTATTAAATGGTTTGAAACAGGTAGAAGGGAGCCCCTTTCCTTTCTACCATGGAGGGCACAGAAGGCACATCCATGAGAAACAGGCCTCCAGACACTGAATTTTCTGGCGCCTTGAGTTTGGACTTCCCAGCCCCTAGAATTGTGAACAATAAATTTCTGTTGTTTGTTACCCAGTCTAAGATATTTTGTTACAGAAGTCCAAATGGACGGAGAAAGAAATTGGTACCAAGAAGCAGAGCACTGCAGAAACAAACAGCTGCAAATGTGGAAGTGGCTCTGGAACTGGGTAATGGGCAGAGGCTGGAAGAGTTTCGAAGAGCAGGCTAAGAAAGCCTCGACTGCCAGGAATGGGCATAAAGAGTGATCCTGGTGAGGGCTCAGAGGAAGAGGAGACAGAGCCTCTGAGATTTTGTAAGTGGCCGTGGTCAGAATGCTGATGGAAATATGGATGGTAAAGGTCACTCTGTTGAGGTGTCAGACAGAAATGAGGAACGTGTTACTGGAAATGGGAGGAAAGGCCATCCTTGTGACAGATGGCAAAGGACTTGGCTGAATTGTTTGTGTCCTCATGTTCTGTGAAAGTCAGAGTGGTAAGGGATGAACTCAAATATTTGGTGAAAGAAACACTCTAAACCATGTGTTGAGGACACTGCATAGCTTCTCTCCGCTGCTCATGGTAAAATGTGAGAAGGCAAGAAATCAAAGACAGAATTTATACTCAAAGGAAAGCAGACCTTATAGACTTAGCATATTCTCAGCCTGGACAAACTAAAGAAGAAAAAAACATGTTTGGGAGATTGAGGGTGTAGCCAAACTAGTGTTTCCGGCAGAGATTAGCATGGACAGGCAGAAGCCAGATGCTGTGCATGAAGACAGTGAGGGCATCACCCTGAAGGCACTTCTGAGGTTATTAATGCTGCCCTCCCCTCACAGGTCCAGAATGCTGAGGTCTGGGGGACAGAACTCTGCCCGTCGAGGGGCCTTGGGTACCTGCAGGACCTCGGCACTGCTGTCCAGCACTGCCTCAAGCCTCAGCTCCCACATTCTGGTGCTGTGCTTATCAGTGGTTCCAGTTGTGGTGCAGGCTGCATGTGTCCCCTCAGAGGGCACAGTCAATCCTTGGGCATCTGTGCAGGGCCATCTCCATGGGTGTGCAGAGGGCAGAAGCTATGGAGGCATGGCTCATCCATCTGGACTTTAGAAGCTTTGGAGAGCTTTGGGATCCAGGCAGAGAACTGCCACAGGGGCAAGGCCACTGCAGACAGCACCACCCTCACCAGGACAATGCCCATTGGAGCTGTGGGGGCAGGGTCACCTGAAGATCTCAGACAAGCAGAACCACTGGTGTGCACCTCCAGCCTGAGAGAGCCACAGGCAGGGGACTCCAGCCCATGAGAGCTGCAGTGTGGGCCGTGCCTAGCAAATCCATGCGGTAGGTGCCACCCAGACCCCTGGGGACGCGAGCCCCTCTTTAGAGTGTCAGGAAGGTGGAAACGTGAGTCAAAGAAGATGTAATAGTTTTGCCCCATTGGGTTCTGGGCTTACTTGAGACCTGTTATCCCTTTCTTCTTTCCTATTTTTCTCTTTTGGAATGGAAATGGCTATCCTGTGCCTACCCCATCCTTGCATTTTGGAAGCACATAACTTGTTCGACTTCACAAGTTCACAGCTGAAGGAATTTGCCCCAAGAGGATATGCACCTTGAGTCCCATTCCCATCTGATTTTAATGATATGCAGGTGGGACTCTGGACTTTTGACTTTTGATTTGGTGCTGGGAACAATTTAAGATTTTGAGCACTGCTAAGATGGAATGAACACATTTGGCATGTGAGAAGAATGTGAATTTTGGAGGGCCAGGGAAGGAATGCTATGGTCTGAATGTTAGGGTTCCCCCTAAATTTATTTGTTGGGACCTAATGCCCAGTACAATTAATACTCTGATAGTACTAAGAGGTTTAGCCTTTGGGAGGTGATTAGGTCATGAAGGCTTTGCCTCATGAATAGGATGGAGCTCTCATAAGACAGGTTGTGGGGACCACTTCTTTCTCTTCCATCATGTGAGGACACAGAGGCATCATCTATGAGGAACAGGCCCCCACCTGACACCAGAGATGCTGGAGTTTGACCTTGATCTCCCAGCTTCCAGTACTGTGAACAATACATTTCTGTAGTTTACAGATCTCCCAGTCTAAGATAATTTGTTACAATAGCCAGAATGAACTAAGACACACATACACTCTCTCCCTCCCTTGGTCAGAGAAGCCAACAGAGCAGGGGCCAGGCTGGCCAGAAGGTTCAGCCCAGGACAAGTTCCCCACAGGGCTGCCTCCCGATAATGAGCACCTGCTGTGTCGTCCTGCACCTGGGATGCCACCGGTGTGGTGTTCATCCCCGTCGGCCGGGACAGCTGTAAGCCCCTCTTTCCTACTTATACTTGGGGCAGCCTCTTCTGTTCTTAACTGGCTGGGAATTTTTATCTCAGAGTCAGAGATTTGGGTTGCGAAAAGCAGGCAAGCAAACAAACACGTCTCTGCATCCTCCTCCCCCTTCTCTTACCCGGTTTCCAGGCTCTGGGGAAAGAAATCCCACAAACTGTCATACTTCATATTGCCATCAAACAGTGGTGGGCATGGTGCAGAGAGGAGCTGGGCAAAGGGGCAGAGGGACAGCGTTCTTTGTTTTTTTGCTTTCCTCCCTGAAACGGGGAGGCGTCAAGTGAGCGAGATGTCCCGGCTACGCAGTGAAGCACAGAGCGGCTGAAGACACAGCAGGCAGGACAGGGGCGTGTGCACGCTGGCAGGCTGTACGCGGGCTGGCCTCGGCCCCGGTGGGGACATGGAGAGACCTTCAGGGGAACCAGGGATTCAGAGACCCATTGTTGGGGTCCTGCAGAAGATGCAGCAATTCCAGCCACCAAGCCAGTCTCACCCCAACGACCTGGCTGGTTGCAGAAACTCACCAGGGACAATGGGCCACCCCCCAGCAGGCCCACCTGGACATGTGACTCCACTGCAGCCACCCTCACAAGCACCCAGTACAGGATCCTCACACCAGAGGCCAAGTCCCCAGGGTGCCCCTTTCTCCCCTTCATGTTCAGCCTCAGCAGCTGGAAGTCCACAGAAATAAATCAGACACTCCTAAAACAGGACATCAGAGGGGAGGCCAGATGGAATAAGAGTTCTCTTCCCACAGACCCAGACTTCCGTGGGCTCCACTCAGAGTCGACTGAACAATGCTGTTGAATGCAAGTCAAGGCCAACATGGGCTGTGCTAACAGATGCACACCCTCCAGCGGGAAGGAGCATGTCGCCTTACTGTTCTGTCCTGATCACACTGAATAGGTGTTCTGTGGTGGGCTCTGAATCTCACCAGGGACACTGAGGAAGGGGAAAGTGGGACAAAAGGGCGTCATCTAGGAAGCCACGCTGGAAAGACTGGGGCATTCGATCTAGAGAACAGGGCCTGGAGAGAATGTTGGTGCTGTCATTGGCCGGCCGGAGCCTACTCTGGGAAGTGACTCCATGTTGCTGTAGTGTGCAGAGCAGTCAGGGTGACGGGGAGTCCAGTCAGACACAGGTGCAGTTTGCTAACGGTGACAACACAATAATGGAGTGGCTTGCCTGTTGAGGTAGTGATAGGGTCTGGCTGTGTCCCCACCCAAATCTCATTTTGAATTGTAGCTCCCATAATTCCCACATGTTGTGGGAAGGACTCAGTCAGAGATACTTGAATCATGCAGGCAAGTCTTTCCCGTGCTCTTCTTGTGATAGTGAATAAGTCTCATGAGATTTGATGGGTTTATAAAGGGGAGTTTCCCTGCACAAGCTCCCTCTCTTGTCTGCCACCATGCAAGACATGCCTTTCACCTTCTGCCATGATCAGGAGGCTTCCCCAGCCACACGGAACTGGGAGTCTATCAAGCCTCTTTCCTCTGTAAATTGCCCAGTCTCAGGTATGTATTATTTATCAGCAGTGTGAAAACGGACTAATAGACAGGAAGCAGCTCCCCACTGGAAATTCTCAGGCCCAGCCTGGCTCACCTGTCAGCAATGTCTTAGCAGAAATTTCTGTTGGGGTTGGGTCTAAGCTGGTCCTGCCAAGAGCGCCCCTTGCCTGGTTCACCCTCAGGGTTATACTTGGAATGCCATGAATGGTCTTGGCTGGCCCCTAGCCTGGGCACCCATGCTTAGTCTTTCTGCAGGTTCCATTGCAGTTAATTTTCCCACGTGAGCCAGGCCAGGCCCCCATGGTTTGGCACCCCCACAGTGCACTGGTTGCTGCCAGCTGACAGGAGCAAGCCTGCAGCTGCTGGGGTACTGTGCAGAGACAGGCTGCCAGAGGGGAGACCACTTGGGGAGGGCGGGGCTGTGGAGAGAGCAAGAGACTAGGGCTGAGGACAGAGTGGTATAGGTCCGTGGTTCCGGCAGGCCTGAAACAGGTGCACTCTGAACCTTTCTGTACTTAGCTTTAACCAGTTGGAGTTTCTGTTCCTTACAGCCAAGAGCCTTGATAGGAACGGCACAGATCTGTGCTATGCTGCCATTGGTTGGCTTCTTCCCTGCTCGGGCGCTGGAGGGTAATATAGCAGGGACTAGAGTGGGAAGCCTGCTCAGTGCCAGGCATGGTAGAAAGCGCTTGTGAGGCCTTATTTCCCACTTGGTGGGGATTTTGACCCCGGCATACAGATGGGTAAGTGAGGACCCTTTCACTTGTCCTGCAACAGAAAATCCAGCAGCCAAAGCCAACAAGGATCTGGCATGGCGTCTTCCCTCTCTGACTTCACCCTCATGCTCCACACGCTGTCCCCCTGGCCATTCCCACCAGCCCAGCAAGCACTGCTCTCACCTCCGCTTCCTGACCAGCCACTGCGGCCAGGCTGGATGGGGGCCATCAACCCACTGAAGCCCATTGCCTATTCTTGAGCTGAAGGTCAATCAATCCCGCATAAGTCTTGGGGCAGAGAACTGGGGGGAGGTAGAGAAGGGGGAATGTCTAGAAAGAAATTCTGGGCACATTCCTGTAAGTGAGGAGGATGGATATTGGAGAGAAAGTAGGCACACATCGCTGCAGGCACCCAGACATTTCTCACGTGCCCTGGCCACATGGACAGCTCCTCCCTGGCTGTGTCCATGCCTCCTCTCCTGCTCCAGGCCCTGTCTGTTCCTGGAGCAAGGTGGGTCCCAGGGCTGGGCACCAGTCCCCACGTCCAGCCGTAAGGCACCTTCCTTCTGCATTTTGGCGCAAATGCTCCCCAGGTTTGTGGATCTGAATCCTCTTCCCAACACACTCAGGCTTTGCTGGCTTCCCTGCGGTGTATGTTTAAGGCACCACATGGCCTCTGTGGCCCGGCGCCTGGGCAGTAGCACCTGGCAAACAGAGCAGTCAGATTCCTTCATCTCAGCCAAGTATAAAATCGAGGTAACGAATCAACCCGTAAGACAACGCCATTCAGACAAAGGCAGGGCCTTCTCCCCCTTAAACTCATAACCGTGTCTCCTTTCTTTCCTTTGATTCGAGGGGGGGAATTTGGTTATGGTCATCTGACTGGTGGGTGTGAGGTCCACCTGCCTGATGTAAAAAGCCATGCCTCCTTTCTAGGTGAGGAGAAAGACAGAGACCTGCTCCTCTGAGGTGTGGTTGGAAGTTGGGGTGGGGGGGACCCAGGTGTGCTGGAAATGAAAAGAAATGCAGTCCTGTTTTTCGTCCCAACATGCAAACAACTGCACAAAAGCATTAGGGCCCGAGACAGAGTAAAGAATGCCTTGTCACCATGGATACCAGGAAATGGCCCCACTTATATATAATAAGGGCTTTAGAGATGCTGGACCATCTGATATTCCAACCTGGGGCCACGTGGAAGGGTAACCTAGCATCATTCCTTATGCAGTTCCATGAACACAGCTGTGGCCAGGTTTTGAACCGTGCTCTGGAAACACCTCTGTCTGCAGAAAATGAGGCTTTTCTTTTTTGTTTGGGGGTGAGCAGAGGGCAGAGGCCTGGGCATCTTCCCTCTGCACCGCTTTGTAACCCAGCTCTTAGCATCATGGCTGACACACAGCAATGTCACACGTGTGAGTGCACACGTTGCCTCACTGCCGGGGGTCGCCCCACACCAGTGCTGTTGCGGGTGTTGGAGTGGTCAGATCTTTAGTCCTCAAGCTTCTGCCTGGCAGAGAGCTGTCCAACAACGGGGGTCGGAGGGAAGCAGCAGCAGCAAGAAAGAAGCCCCCTGCCCCTCACCCTCCCTCCCTGGACGCCCCCTCTCTGGCCCCATCCCACAGTCGCTTGCAGGCTTGGAGGAAGTGGATTTCCCAGTGTGGGAACCCCGATGCCTGTCGGGTGTCCACGCAGCCTCACCCGGGCTGTGCTGGTCCAGCCCCGGCGAGTTCGAGACCCAGGGGTTCCGGGGTGGCAGGGGGCTCCCTTGGCGCCTGCGAGGCCTCAGCCCGGGCGGCTCCCGGAACCCGCGCTTCAGGGAGCCAGGTCCGCCGCCCCCCGCAGGAGCAAAACAAGAGCACGCGCACCTGCCGGCCCGCCCGCCCCCTCGGTGCCGGCCAATTGCGCGCGCGGGGCGGGGCCGGGCGCGCCGGTGCCGGAGCCCTAGCCGGATCCCCGCCTGAGCCCGAGCGCAGCCCGCACCCAGAGCATCGTCCGAGCCGGGAGCCAGCTCAGCCTCGGCCCCGCAGCCCAAGCCTCGTACCCCGCCGCCGCCGCCCCCGGGGCATGGCCTGTCTGATGGCCGCTTTCTCGGTCGGCACCGCCATGGTGAGTGAACGCATCCTTCGCCAGCCGGGCTCGGTTTTATTTTCAAGGAGAGCAGGAAACACACAAAGACTCGCATGCTCGACCTGACACCCTTCCCTGGAGCGCGTCCTCTGGGCGCTGACCCAGGGCACCCCATTGAGGCGCCCGGCTCCAATCGCTGCTCCCGCCTCTCCGCTCGGGCCACCTGGAGCCTCAGGATGCCCCTCGCACTGGCCGGGAACACGGACAAGGTGGAGGGGCCGGGAGTGGGGCGAGGGCAGCGAGCAGCCCTGCAAGTGGACCAATGGCCTTGACCTGATGGGCTCCGGGCGGGGGACGTGCGGCCCTGGGGACCCAGAGCGCACTGGAGACTGCGGAGGGGGCGCAGCTTGGGCCGGAGGGAAGAAGGGGAGCCCCGCGCGCGCGGCTGTGGGCTTGGGGAGCGGAGAGTTCTCGCGCCATCCCCAGGAACGCCAGGCAAGGTCTAGAGGAACAAAAGAGGGAGCTGCCCCCGGAGAGCCGGAGCCGGCGCCTGCACTCCCGGGGACGCCTCTCCCGGACCCACTCGGGGAGGGGGCGGTGAAGGCCGGGGGACACCGCGAGGGGCGAGCCCGGATTCCTGCCGGCCGCCTTTCCGTGCGCGCCGGAGAGAGAGACGCTGTGGCGACAAGGACGCGCATCTCACTTCCCCCCGGCTCCGGGGAGGGATGTCGGGGTGCCGGCGAGTTCGCTGCTGGACACGGTGACTGCAAGTGCTGTTCCCAGGGGTGGTCAGGAGTCTCCCGTTGCTGGTTTTCTGGCATTAGGAATAAACAATGAACCAACCGTCAGGTCCCCAGCCACCCACCTCACCTTATCCTAGGGCCCTTCATGCCTACGCCCAGCACTCCAACATCACAGAGGCAGCTAAAGAACAAATGGAAAGTCTTCGGTATTCCACGCCGTGTATCTGTGTAGTTACTACCCGGATAGTTACTTCCCCGAGGCTGCAAGCCCACAGTGCATGGCAGGCTGCGGGGCTCACCCCGCCCCTCCCCTCTATTTCATTTTTAGCATCCTGTGTTTGAAGTCAGCAGGGCTCAGCAGCGTTTGACCGACAGTTACCTCTTGCCTTGAGCTCTAGAGAAAAAAAAAAAAAAACGTAGCCAGGTTTCTGCGCATGCTCCGCTGTGACAACTGCATCCTATGATTCCAAACAGGTTACTGTAGAACATACGGAGCCTCGCCAGCTCATTATATAATGATTTTGTGTAAACGATAGAATGGGGCCGCAGTCCCGGCCAGGCGGTGGGTGGAGGAGGGGACAGCCGCGGCGGGAGACCCGCAGGCTGCCTCCGCTCTCTGGGCTGCCCTGCCTTCCCTGCTTGGCTTCTCCATAGACGAGGCAGTGAATAAAACGGAAAAGTCATTTCCATCCCGGGGACACTTGCTTTTCCCTGGTTGAATCTTTGGGCCACAGTTGGAAATTCTGCCTTTTGCACTTGTTCATCTATTCAGATTCCTAAATGAGGTTGGCAATGAAAAATTAAGATTATTGATGTTAGTTGCAGGTAGAAAAAGTTATAGATCTTGTATTAGATGCTAGGTGATTCTTGAAATCCTTTTAGAGCTGCAAAGGTGGCTTGTACATATGGAAAAATAATGAATCCGATATTTTAAGATACAGATTTTTAATACCAAGATTTTTTAATGGTATATTATGATTTGATACAGCCCCCAGAGCTCAACTGTTTTGTTATGTGTAAACTCTAATGGCGGGGCTCATTGTTTTGGAGAACAGTGTTTCGCTTTGAAAATTATTTTCCTCCCTGAAAACTTGATAATTTAAAAAAAGTTTCAACATTTCTAACCATGCACAGCTATCTCACCCTGAAACCACTAGTGTGATCTTAGAAGCTAAGCAGAGTTAGGCCCCAGCTGGTCCTTGAATGAGTGACCACCTGGGAATTCTGGAGGCTGTAGGGTTAAAAGAAAAATAAATGTAAAATAAAATAAATTCTGTTCAAGTCATAAACAGCCCTTCAGAGATACCCAGGATCTGAAGCTTTGCTTTTCCTTCACCTCCTGCTCTGGGTCCATCCTGGTGTAGGCCCTCTGAGTTGTGAGTCAAAGGAGGTGCCTAGGACTGAGCCAGGCACTTGGGGGAGCATGCTGTGGTCAGTGGGCACACAAGGGGTGGCACATGTTTCCAGTGGGAGGGTAATGTTTGGAGCTGTTCTGGGATTCCGAGGAACCCCTCCAGCACGATACAGGCTTTGGCTCAGTTAAGGGTGTGATGCCTTGTTTATTTTCCTCTGGGCAGTCGCCTGGAGGACTCTTGGTCAGTGCATTTTCCTCTTATGTGCTTAGGATGCTTAGGTGGGTACCCAGGCTGGCAGCAGTGAACCCAAGAGAGACAACAGAGAGCTGCAAGCTAATCGTGTGCTGCTGACCGGCTCCTCTTCCTGTTCCTCACTCCCTCATGAAGCTGGGAGAAAAAGTTTCTATCTCTGTGTCCCTGGTGGAAATGGAGTGAATGCAGCTCACCATGACCTAGGGGTGGCTTACTGATAGTTAGAGACCCTCCCCAGCTAAACAGGCATCTCTATCTGCCCAGGATTCAAACTGCAATCACAGGCCGCTCTGCTCAGCGCCCAGGAAAATATTCCCATGAACAGCAGCCAGGAATGATCCAAACAGGGTCTCTCTGGCATTCCACATCTATGAATGAACTTACTATGACTCACAATGTATTGTGCCGCACAAATCGTATGTGGCCCGGTGCGGGGGTGGGGGCAGGTCAAAGACAGTGCTTCGGTAGGATAGGGAAACAGAAGAGTGAAAGGAAAAAATGAGAGAAGATGCATTTGCTTTAATTTTAATAAGCTCAGGAGGCTAAGGAGAAGCTCGCTGTAACCTACATTGCCGGCAGCTCTCATCGGAGGATGTGTTTCCAGAGAGCTGGTCTATTTTGGACTGACAGGCCGCAGCCTCGCATCACACAGTTTCCATGATTTTATTAATTGGGTGAGGCTGTTGGACGCCATGGAGGAAAGGTGGTCAACCATATGCATTGCTTTGGTGTTGGTTTATTTGGGCTGGGGCTACATGATTTCTTCGGTGTGGATTTTCCTATAATGGACAAGGGCTGGGAAGACACTGAAACACCCACAACTCACCCATGGAAGGCTAAGCAACAGTCCAGGGCTGCTACAGAGGCTTGTGGCCTCAGACTTGGAAGCCTCTCATAGCAGGGTCCAGCCTGGCCACACCCTGATCATGGGGTCTTGGGCAAATCAGACAATGTCTCTGTGCTTTCTATGCCTCCTCTGAACCAGAGATGGTTGTCCCACCCCCCAGCACCCCTGTCCCTGTTAGAGTTGTGGAGGTAATAAGAGGCATAATCTATATAGGCTAGAGTTTAATAGGTACATGGTAATTGCTGGGTCAATAGCCACTATTGTTTGTAATCACTTACCTAGCATGCACAAGCCATTATTAATTAATACTTTAAATTACAAGTACTTGATTCGGGCTTATCTCTTTCTTACTCCCAAATCAGTTTAGCCACCCAGCTTTGTCTTCCTGGCCTGTCCCTTGCCTTCAGCCCCACTACGCTCAGTGGATCCAGGCCAGCATCACCTCACCTGGTTCACAGCAGGAGACACTTCTGCAGTTCTGGTCCTGTCATTCCCTCAGGGCTCCCCAAAGATCTCTCAATAAAATGTAAAACCCTTAATCATGTCGGCAAGCCCTTCACCACGGGGCACATTGTTTGCCCCTCTAGTCTCATCTACTCTAAAGCCCCCTGCCCTCCTGCCCAAATCCACACTCCAGCCCCTGCGTTTCTTACAGGTCTCTGAATACCCCACTCTCTCGTGCTGCTGGGACTTTGTATATGCTGTTCCCTAGCAGAGGCCACCAGGAGCCAGCACCCCTCCCTCTCACCTTGTTAAACTTAGCTAAGATTCTATTTCTGCAGAAAGACTTCATCCTGCGTCTCCCCATCTCAGGGTCTGTGTTGCATTAGATATCCCTTCTGAGTTACCCATATTCTGCTCTCAGCCTGGCTTTTGCCTTGACCTATTGTAATTAGTTGGTCTTCCTCAAAATGAAAGAAGCCAATCACAGGCACATATGGGGGAAAATGCACTGACCAAGGGTCCTCAAGGCGACTGCCCTGAAGAAAATAACCAAGTCATCACAGAAGCACAGCGGAGCTTCTCAACAATCCGGAGGCGCTTATGCTTTCCCCCTGGCTCCTGCCTTGGCCTAGTGTAATTAGTTGCCTGTTTTCTTGCCTGGGGCCAGATCTTGAACTTGAGCTTGCTAGGTCTGGGCCATGTCTGTTGGGCTGACTGCTGATCCCAGGGCTTGATCTGGTGCTCAGTTTGTCCAATGAATGAGTGAGAGAGGGAGTGAGTGAGCAGATAGTGAGTCTAGCAGAGAAAGTCAGGCCCTCATGATAATGTAGATGGGTGGTATGGGGGTTGTTCACCCCGTATTAGTGTGGGCTTTAGCCACAAGAAAGAAGCACCTGTCCCTGCAGCAGGGGCCCCATACCTGCAGTGGGTGCCTGGAGAGAGGGTGTGGATGGTACGTGGCAGCTGGGTTCCTGGGGTGGAGGAAGAGGGGGTCTGTGATGGGGGAGGAGTTGCTCAATCCCCCTGTGCCTTGCCCCCAACTGCATACACAGCCATCGGGGGTCCCATGGCAGAGCCTGAGTCTGCCAGCAGGATTGGGTAGGACCTAGCACATGCTGTGTCTTCACTTGTGTGGCAAGGTGGGGATGGAAATGGACACTGGGGACCAGGCCTGGAGGGCACTGTCTTGCTCCACAGCTTTCTTGACATCCCCCCTCCAAAGCCCAGATTTGGTGCTCTTGGGGCTCTTTTGGAACCCAAGTGAGCTCTAAACACCTGGAGCAGCAGGATGGGGCCCCAGAAGGCAGGCTGAGGGGCATAGGGCAGCAGCATGTGGCCCCAGAGGGCAGGCTGAGGGGCATGGGGCAGCAGCATGGGGCCCCAGAGGGCAGGCTGAGGGGCACGGGGCAGCATAGGATCCCAGAGGGCAGGCTGAAGGGTATGGGGCAACAGCTCCTTCAAGAGGCCCTGCCGAAGGGGCAACAGGACCAGCTGGGAGGAGGCTTCAGTGTTGCTCCCTCAGGGTCTGCATCTTCTCATTGCTCCAGAGCCCTAAGAGTGAGGAGTCCCCTTGTCAGACATGCACAGACCCTCCCAGCTCTGCTCGGGAATGCGGGAACCCACATATGCTGGTATCCAAGGTATCCTGAATGCCCAGGGCCAGCAGACCAAGCTCAGCTTCGTCAGAGTTTCACCGGCACCTGCAGTTTTATCTACACAATATTATAACTCAGGAGCTGTTTTGATTTTGTGAAGGTCCTCAGAGGTAGGAGATGCCTGGGAGGGGTGTGTGTGCTTTTGGCACTGTGGGATGTTCTCTCTCGATTTGGAAGACAGCGAGAAAAAGCACAGCAATTTGCTCCCCAAGGCTGCTTCTGTGTTTTGGAGGTACCTGAAGCTTATTGATTTGCTCACGGTTGCCAGGCCATTAAAAGAAGGATATTCCTTTCTTTGCATAGATACTTCTGGGTTCGTGGCAATTGGTTACAGTTCATTTGACTCCCAATGGAAGCTTTAAAAGCCAATGCTAGCTACAAAAGATTAGGTACCCTCACGATGCAGTGAAATGAACACTTACCTTTTTTTTTTTTTTTTTTTTTT